GAGAATTTGCCCGTTGTTCCAACTACTTATAGAAGAAACAATATGCGGTTGTAAGGTTTGACATTGTCGCTAAAATGTTTACGATGCTGCCAGATTTTCTCTCTCTCTTTGAAAGCCAATTTGTCGGGATGGCTAAGACAAACATTCACGGCATTACCTTCATTCTTTTCTCTAATGAAAGGCGACAAAGTTAGAGTGAGACAGAGAAACAAGGCAGACTTTAGAGGGATTAGATGTAGGCCACCGTGCTCCGTGTGGGCTATGCTCAGGGAGTCTGAACCATCACGAGCCCAAACAAGTTTATCTCCAAGTTACAGATAACAAATTTACACATACATACATAAGTTTTTAAGAGCTGAGGATGTCTGCGGGGCTTAAAGGAAGGAACATGTCTGTGCTTGACATGTGTTTGGTGGATAGAAGGATGGAGGACGGTTTTTTCCAATCAGCTCTAGTATCAACACCACCCGTCATGTTCCACATATATAACTTTGATTTACCACTTTAAATATCATTAGTTTTTATACAGTTGAGCTGATAAATTGCCTATATTTGGTTTTAAATCTATTACCGCTCTATTGACAGCATTTCACATTACTTTTAGCATCATAATTAATTGTTTATCCAATATTTGGGTATATATTTTAATATCTATACATTATTTTCGGCAGTTTTTTACTTCCAGCTTGCTATTTCAACCATTTATTCACTGCTGTTAGCTAACTGGTTTGATTTTTCTGCTATTTTAACTCGTAGTTTTCACCCCTGCAGTCCAAGCACCTCTAATTGGGAATCACAAGTATACTAAAAAACTCAGCCTAGCAAGCTGTAGGCTTAAAGTCAGATGGATGATGACTTTACCCATTTCAGAAAACCAAGGACACCAAATTAATCATTTCAAAAAAAGAGCTAAAAAGAACATCCAATACACTCGTCATTCAAATCTTTCAAGGCTACATCCTCCGTTGGTCTTTAAACAATGTATGCAGCATAACAGGCCTCGTGCTGTCAAACTGTGGCAAAATTCGTCTGAAAGATTGCAAAGATGATGAAGAAAACAAACTGTGTAGCCTATTCATTGCAACATGTTTCATAGCACCGTGACTGAGCTGACATTTCTCGAAGTCACGATGTAAAGATGTTTTTTATCGATATATTAGGTAGAATTTATACACAGACAGACATGTTCTTCCTACACAGCAGTTAAAATATAAGCGAAATGAATGCAAGAATATTTTCTATGCAGACAACAGTGATCTATTTTCAACATTAAGCCATATATCTACAGCATGGACATACTGGAAAAGATAAATACTTCAACAGTGTACCTACTAATGCACATCTGTAATGCTTCACTGCCTCGCTCATAGAAGCTTGCTGCTGCTACCTCTACGTTCAAAGGCGGTGACCCTCCTCTGACCTCTGACTGCAGGCCCTTCAGCAAAGGTTACCACGGATATTTGAAAAACTGGTTGTCAGACAAACCATCAATATCATCATCATCATCTCACAAATAGCTCTTTTAGAACATACCCGATGCAATTTGGATTCAGGGCAAATTACAAATTACTTCATCCCAGCAAGCAGTCAATGCTCCCACAGCGACGGCCAACATCACCGACAAGGAAATAATTCTAAAAGAAGGATGTTTCTCATCTCAAATAATGCTCCATTGAGATTAAAAGCTAACTAAACATTCTGGTGACAATTGGGGGATGTTGTCAGATGATGAAAAAAGAGAAACATTCAAAAAAATTTGCAATTCAATGTGTAGAAAACAGTTTTTTTCTGCAGGTCACAATATATATATATATATTTGTAGAGCAAGATATTCTCATCTCAGGAGGGAGGCTACAAGTTGTTTTAGACCTACAAATATTTATGAGTACATTTATACCCCAATCTTGGCTTCAGAACTTAAACAAAAAGGGTCTGCAATATGGTAAAATTTAGTTTCACAAACTTCAGGTTTACTAGAGACTTCCTATCAAGTGAGGCAGCAAAATCAAACTTCCATTCCATCATTGTCTCACACATCGCCTACTGTCTGATAAGTTGCTCTAATGCCCACTCTGTAGCCAGAAACCTACTCAAATCATTCAACAACTCAAAGTTTAGTTTCTCTAGTTTACAAGACATGTGTGCATGGTTTAGCTACTCCTCCTCCGGCTTCATCAATTCCAAATCTACTGCAAACAGAGCTACCGGAGGTGCAGCTAGGGGGCACTGCACAATCCCACACAGAAAGAAATCTAATTTAGTCAGGGCCGTCTTTTCTTTCAGAGCATCACATCAGTGGAATTCAATACCACAATCAGTGAGAGAGTCCCCGTCCCATTATTCATTTAAATATATTTTTTAGGAGGGCTCTTAGAAATATATCTCAAGTTGGAGCTTCCAGACCTTGATGTGATGCAGTGCTGCAGCTCAGCCAGATTAAAAGCAAAACGTTTGAACACTCCTGTTTTAACCGACTTTTATGATATCTGCTGAATGGCTTCCTACATTATCACAGCAGGCTATAAACATGTCTTGTTTGCAGGCGTTTAGTTACATGTCAAGTGTGTGATCAGCTGGGAAAACTTTTATTTTTGAACCATTTATTGTCGATATAAACCCCATTTAGTTACATCTTTTTGTCATGTTTTTATGAATGTAATATCTTCTAATTCTACGTGATTGTGTTTATATATGAAGGACCTTTAAATCTTATATGTTCTTATCTTATACATCCTTTTTACAGATATATCACTTCATATCTAATCAGTTATTTTGTGTTTTTACTCATGTAATACCTTCTTATCTTATATATTGTTTTTATATTTTCACTATCTTCTATCTTACCTTGTGTTTTTCTACATAAAATACCTTTTTTTCATCTGTTATTTAAAGTTTTTATACATATAATACCTTCTCATCTTATATGTTCTTAGTATTTCTCTGTGCTGGTGTGATATCTTAGGTTTAAATACATGCAAAAACCCTTTTATGCATGTTTCATATGTAACCTTTGCCTATTGTGTGCTTAATTGAAGCATAGCGAGTCCATACCAGTCATAAAAATATGCTATACAAATAAACTATTTTCACCTTTAGCAAGACCATATTTATACTATATTTACATCATTTAATTGCATTACATATGCTGTAGTAAACTGTATTTATCTGACCTGTAAATGCTTGTTATTTGCATTGCATAATGTCTGAATACAATGCAGCTTTGCTATAATTACTATACACATTGCATAATATGTATTATTTGGGAGTGCAGATGAAAATTGGCCTTTTGGGGTAACTCAGGTACATTAACATTTATTTGAATGTTGATTAACGTACACTGTCCCTAATCAAATAAATAAATAAACTGGGGAAAAAAACAATATCTAAGTGAGTGGGTTGGGTACATTTACATGAGCAGCCACAGGCTGTAATATTAATAGGTTCCATTCTGCAATACCATGGAGACAAATAATTAATTGTATGAATTCCGTATTTCAGAGGACACCGGAATGAAGCTGCAGAATATCCCTTTATGAAAACTTTGGATATCGCAGGAGATCCTCGTCTCCAAAGGGAATTAATGTCACTGCAGTGGGACGGCTGTTTGTCAGCCAAGAGCCTCTCACCCTATCAGCCTCCCATTCATTATCTTGAACCCTAAATAGCATTTAAAAATTATTTAATATTCACTCCGCACAGTGCCATGGCAACAGCTGTTTCTCCAGTGGCATTAACACTGCTCCTCCACTGAAGTCACATCCACAGACGCTGCGTGTCGGTGCTGCGTGGGCTCCACCTAGTGGGGTGAAAGAGCAGCTTCAAGAGCAGAGCTGCAACGCCGTCAGAATGGGCAAATGATCAACCTATCGATCAATTAATCCTATAATCTGCTGTAATGGCCCATCTTTGAGAAGAAGTCTCCAATAACAGCGCCTTCAACACTCTACAAATCAGCTGTTCTCATGTGCTAACGAGCAACCGCAGCCTACGATCAATTTCAGATAAAAACGAGCTGAACTATAACCCTATGACGTGAATATACAAGTTGTTTAAAAGATTTTTTAAAAATACTGGATTGCAATATAGTCATCTCAAAACACACCCTGTAGAAATTTATTTCCCAGTACTAATATAAATAATAATAATCAAGGTATTCTCGTACTTTGCAGTCACTCATGCATGCCTGGAAATAACTACCTTTATTTAAACAAGCACAAATCTAATGGAAATGTCAAAACAGAGCAGCAGCATATCTCGAAGCATCACGCTCTCTCTTGTATATTACACATTGTTTGATCTTTTCACTTGATGTAGTCACCATCAAAGAGCAACCAAGAAACAACTCCTGAACTGTAAAAATCAAAGCTCAGAGTCTGCATTAAGGTAAATCAGAGGTGATATCTGAGGTAAACGCCGCAGCCGCTGTTTGATATTTACGATCGTACGCAGAGGATGACGCTGAGGCCGCGACACAATGGACAAAGAGGCTTTTCTGCAGTTCAAAGTAACAAATTTATTTAAATTAGAACCTATTTTATCAAAAAAGTTTCAAGTTTTCAGGACAAACAGCAACAGTGCAATCAATGACAGATGATTCTCTACAAACAGGACACACACAGAAAACTACAGTCACAGACAAAAGGCCACAGTTTCAAGTATTGTGAACATCAACATATATACACACACACACTCATGTAAAGCAACACAAAAGGCATTTTATATTCTTTACATTTCAATCCAAACTATACTATACAAAGATCTAAAAAGATTTCATTGTATCCCTGCCAGCACCAAGTGAACGTAACTTTTCTCAGAGTGTGGATGCTCCCCAGAGAAGAGGGAACATATTTTATAGGCTGCAAAGGTAACCTATGAACAGAATGCTTCACATGACACTTTGCAGTTGATGTTAAAATGCCATGTGAATAAATAAGAGGTTTTTATTGCATTTCCAACCATTTAGAAGCTGGTTTTCATTACCTTTACAAACCTGCATTGTGTGCCACTTATTCATTTTGCACTTGCGGCCGTGCCCTTTGGAAGAATACTGGAGTGGGGTTTTCTTTTTTTTCTCCAAACAAACACAACCATGTAAAATGTTTTGGTTGGCCCATTAACACACATAAATCACTGAGCACACTTTTCACTGGGCTGAATCCAGCTGCTGAGGTGCTTTCTCGTATCATTTTGTATCCATGGATGAGTCATCGCAGCATCCCATAATCCTCTGCAACTCCTGAATACAGGGAACAATTGACTGGCTATGCAGCTGAGCCATCTTCAACCTTGAGGGAGGAAAAATAGCGGCGCGATTTGTTAGTCAGGTGTGATCAAAAAAAGCATCGACCTTACTATCAATAATAATGCAGCATCTGTGCTTTCTGACAAACTGATTGTATAAGAAAGGAGGAAGTGATAGAATTATCTTCAAGTGGCCTATCTAGCTCATCAAAACGGTCAGCAGTGTGCTTCCACGGACCATACATTAGCTGCTACCTAGTTTCTAAAAGAATTACAACAACAAACAAGCATATTTCAGGACACAAATGCATCCCAGGGAGAGCTTAAGTAAAGGCATAAGTTTGGGAAACTTGTAGGAAGGTAAACCCACCTGTGGTGCAGGGGCTGGTGTGCCAACCCAGGCCTTTAAAAGGTGTGCAAGCTTAGACTCAACAGGTGCTAAGATGGGACTCCAGTAGGATGTCCGTGCTGCTTTGCGTCAACTGGATATTGGCAACTTGATGCTAACCCATTAGCAAAGAGGTTGTGGTAAGCGTAGCGTGAGTCGCGATAGTATATTTCTGAATGTAGTCAAAAACGGTAAATGCTGCTGTCGCTTGATTTTCCCAGCAACCTGAGTAAAGCTGCTTTGTTTTTCAGAGGGATGCAGGTAGCACACACACGAGTTAACCAGTGTACACAAACACTAAGTATCTGGTTCACTGTGACCTTTCAGATGCATGTATATTTAAAAAAAGAATCAGCAGAATGGGAGTGTTATTCTGGCAACTGCTCACATCGCAAATTCTTTGTATTGCCTTAAACTGATTACTACACTGAGTGTGCACGGTGGCAAACCAACTGTATTAAGTCTGCTCATGTGGCATCGAGAGCTTGACGTACCTTCTGAGCAGCTCGCGTCCTCGGTTTGGTTCGTAGTGCTTGAGAGCGGTGAGGCTGTGGGCTGCCAGGATGCTGTAACACTGTTCCCGGAGAGCGTTGTGGTTCGCCGTGTCCCACTGCGGCAACTCGCTGGTGTATCGCCACGCCATCAACGAGTGCTCCAACACGGCGTCCCACTCTTTGTTCCTCAGAAGAACTTGGCCCCACTCCTGACACGAAACCTGAGGGGGAGGATGTGGAGGTGACAGATTAGCATGGCACAATGAAACACTCGGCTTACGGGGAGGCATCCTGTGGAGCAGGGCTTAATCTATGTGACAAAAATGTCCTTATGCAGACGAAAAAAAAAGAAGAGCTCAATTATATATATGAAAAGAAGAGATGTGTTTAAAAAGAAAACAACTGATTTTGTATTTTAATACAAGACCTTCTAGCAAAACAAATTGGACAGTATACAAGAAATTGTGCACATGTATAAACAACAGACACTAGGGAAACAACTAGTGAGTGTTTTCATTGTCATTATTCGACTTATTTACTTGTTCAATTATTAGTTAAAGGCCAAAGATAACAGGCTCAAATGGGTTGTTTTGTCCACAACCAAAAGCTATTCCTGTTACTGTCATAAAAGGAGTAAAGACACCAGAAAATATTTTAACTTAACCTGGAATCAGGTCATTTTGACTGGTTTTTCCTCTTTAAAAGAAAAAATGACTCAAACAGATTAAAAGAGACAAAGATGTACTCAGACAACTCATCAGTTAGTCACTGCAGCTCAGCTACACACCACCGATACTCACTTTGAACGCCACCAGATGAGGATAGGCCTTCCTGTAGCAGTGAGCGTCCCTGTTGGAGCCAAACCGCGAGTACGGTATGGACCTGTAAACATTTGCCTTCTTTAGCTGCAGGTCTTCCTGAATATATTTCAGGTCTGAAGCCATGGTCCTGGGCTCTTGGCTCTGGAATAAAATGCAGCGAGTTATATTATATGCAGTGGTACATTTTATTTTAATTTGTAGAAGTGTGTCCATTTCATTAACCTTTATTTAAACACTGAGGGCCATTGAGAACCAGCTCTCTTTTACAAGGACGCCCTGATCACAATATATAAAACACTAAGAGCACACAAAGAGGTAATGTCTATGTCAGGGGTGTCCAATCCTGGTCCTCGAGGGCCACAGTCCTGCATGTTTTAGATGTGTCCTTCTTCCAGCACACCTGATTCAAATGATCAGGATCGTTATCAGGCTTCTGCAGAGCTTGATGATGAGTTGATCATGTGAATCAAGTGTGTTGGAAGAGAGAAGCAACTAAAACATGCAGGACTGTGGCCCTCGAGGACCAGGATTGGACACCCCTGGTCTATGTCAACACTTTGTACAACAAACAGATCAAAATAAAGGGCAGCATCGATTCAAAGAGACATTGACACTGGTCTATGTCAGTCAAAAGGGATTTGAAGTGATCACAAAGTAATGGCTTATCTAATTTTAGTAGCTTCAGCAGTCTGTTCTACTTCTGTCGAGCGTAATAATTAAAAGCCAATTTCCCAATCCCAGCATTAACATTGTGATTCAAGGACCAAATACACTTGAGACCTATAACAATGGAAAATTGATCTACAGTTAAAAAGACACGAGACAGCCCTGAAGTGTTCTACGAGGTGCGTCAGGGATAAATAAAATGCAGTGCTGCTCTGAGTGCTGCTGCCAAACTTTGTCACATAGAAGACAATGCAACAATCATCCATAACATGAATTTGCTTTTTTTGTATGAATGTATTTTTAAAGACCCAATTGTCATCAAGCCAAAAAAACAAGATTCTTATGAGATGACATGCTTTCCAAAAAAGTGGCCACATTCACCTCAGTGTAGTCACAACCAGTTTTCTAGTAAAGCACATATATTTTGTTTTATCTGACTTCAAGAGTATTTTAAAATCAAAAAGCAACATGTGCATTTATTGCCCCAAAGACTGTCATCATGCTAAACTGGGTGCAAAATTCTCTCAAGATAAAGCACATTGAGTGTTATATTTAACTGGACAGTACCTGTTCAACTGAAATAAGGGATCTGATTAGTTGTACAAGCTGCTGATTGGAGAGCGGTGTATGGTGCTCGTCCATCTTCTCGCAATGCTCTTCGATGCCTCCTCTCCACACGCCGCCAATGGACAAGTCCACTGCAAAACAAACAAACAAACACAAAAAAGATGAGATGAATAACAGACCACAGGAAACAGGTGGGAAAACAACAATCACTGAAATGCTTGCAGCTCCAGCAGCTACATGCATGTAAATGGGACTAGAGATCAGTTGGCAAATATTAATATTCATGTGCGTGGGTTTTGTTGGAACATTCTCCAGCATCAAAAACAACATTTAATGCACCCCGGTGAGTTTTTAACGCAGCAATTTGCACCTTTTCTTCTTCAATTTATGGTGGAAATGTATTTATTTATGTAAAGGAAAGAGACAAAATTCAAGCACCAGGTGGAAATCAAACACAAAGACACACGTAGGATGTTTTTTACTCTTCTGTTGATATTGGTGTCTTTTGTTTGGGGAAGTAAGCTCTTTGAATGTAATATTTGTTGTCCAAATATTGATTTCCCAAGTCACCCCTTGAAAAGTAAACCTATGGTGTCACCCCAAATAGTTTTTTATTGGACAGGTAAATAGAGGAAAAGCTTTTATTGCTTTCAACATTGTTATTTGTTTTTTTTTAGTTCACTGACAGAACACTGAATGGCAAGGGAAATGAATGTGGCACTAACACACCCTTTCCGTTGTCATACTAGATTTCTTTGGCCATTTTGCTTCCTATAGGGGCAGCTCACAAAACCAGACACACCTTAGCTTTGCTAGTAGAGCTTTAATGCTTTAGCATTTGTACTTACATGACTGTACACGCTTTGGAGCTGCGTTTCTCCCTCTTGGAAGTGGAGATGGAGCCAAACGTGCACTTAGAATTTCCAAGTAAGACCTCCTCATTCGGGCTGTAAATAAAATATGAACATTAAAACTTCTTCAGTCCCGCTACAAAGTCATTTGCTACTCGCTGCATTAGGCAAAAACACTAAACAGACAGCAAAAAGAGCTTTAACTCAAATGCATACAACTTTGCAAGCTGCAAACACTGGGTGCTAAATGACTGTTGGGGCGCGCGCGGAGATAACGTTAGCATGATAGCAAAGTGGCGCCTCCTGCACAAAGAGTTACACAAACTCAACACAACGCTGTCATATTCGACACTTACCTGCAATTTTGGGCTGTGGTGCAGGTATTTCCACCAGGACACGTCGCGGCTGGCACACAGCTGCCATTGTGAGCCGACTAACAGGTGAAGATAAGAAGCTAACTACCTGCTACTAGCTCGTGTCGCTAGCTGAACTTTAAACCCCACGGGGCGCCGCGAACAATAACTTTTCCACGGCTGCAGTTTGCTCCTGTGGGACTCGTCAGTCTTCTTCAGAGGCGTCGGTGCACTTTGTCGTCCTCGCTGGCATCCACTCTCGTTTTACTTCAACTCAGCACGACAAAAAAAAAAAGAGCTTCGTATTTGCGCGGCGAAGAGAAGCAGAAAGTTGTAACTTTTGTTTGCAGCGCTGCTGGTACTACACTGATGAGGCGCGCGACACGAGTTGCCGCGCGGGCGTGGTTTGCCGCATGCGTCGTTCTGATTGGTCGAGCGTCGCGGCGTGCGTGGAACAGGCGCCCAATATGCAAATGAGGCGTTGGCGGTCCTCCCCCGTCATGTGTCCCCCATGTTACCCCTCTGCTGCTCGGAGGAGGGGGGAGAACACGCGAATCACGTATGATCACGTAGCAAACGTCCACAGGAACAGCAGCAGCGGCAGATCTCACCTCACTGCAGTGTTTAAGTTGTTTCAGAAGCATAACAGAATCCTTTAAACTCAGATAATAGAAATGTTGTTTTCATGTCATGGTGTAAACTACATATGAAGAGTTCAATTGCAAAAACAGATAACATAACTTTTTCTGTTGTTTGCTTGAGATAATAGTAATCAAACTGAAGCTGAGTGGATTTGACTCAGTAGAAATGACATGACAAAAATAGAGATAAGTTTGATTGGTATTGTCTCAGGTTGATGATGGAAAGGTGGGTTTTCTGAAGGTTTGTGAAGGTGGATTTATCTGTTCTTGCAAATGAACTCTTCTAATATAATCCAATATTCACTGCTTGCAATGTTCATACTGTGTGTATTCTGTATATATACTGCATTTACATCATTGTGTACACTGGTAATACAGTTTCTACCACGATTTGTCCCCATCTGTACAGTTAGATGATATATTTTATGTTGCATGCACATCTATATATTCTACAGTAAACACCAAACTGCATATCATGTAATTTACTGCTACTTTTACAAATCTAGTAAACTGTATTTGATGTCTTAGTACTTGTACTCTATGCAGTGGCAATAAAACTGAAGCCAATCTAATCAAATCAAAGTTTTTTTTAACATGAAAATAATTCATTCCTGCCTTAAAAAGAGCTTATGAGTCATTCCATCTCAAATCATTAAATTTTTAGAACAGCTCCTGCCCAACCACCTCTGATTTGACTGAAACTTTTAGAGCATTACATAGTGATATTTATGAAGATATTTGTGAAGTTTTAGTTTGACATATTAAACACATTTTGAGATTTAAAAAAATAATGTAAACATTGTCCATAGACCTAGAAAGAAATAGTCCATTGTTATATTTATAGAACTCCACAACGCTGTATTACTCAGATTAGGCCACCTACATTGTAGTTTTTGTGGTACAACTTGTCATATATGCTCAATCAGGTCTGAAAGTTCAGCAAAAATAACTCCTTTTTTTGTGATAAAGCATTTCATATTAAAAAGTATTCTATATTGTGACATGCAACTGCATTTTTTTCTTAATTCAACTCACTCATCATTGGAGATTATTTTAACTACTTGTCCAATATAGAAAGCAATGACATGAAGAGAAATAACTGATTTTATCGTTAATAGTTTTTGAGACATTGTTGTTCAAACATGGCCTCGAATTTCATTGTTTGAAACAACGTGCTAAAAGTGGGTCAACTGGCAATTTCTTTAAAAAAAAAAAAAAAAGCACAAAAACAAACTCAAATACTTGACATATCAGTCTAAAATGTAACACACCATTTTATATGTCTGTATTTTATGATTTTTAAAAAAGTTGAGCTGGTCGAGCAAAAGGTCTTTTATGATTTGAGGTGAAGTGGCCCTTATGCAGAACTCTGTTGCTTCATTTAAAATGTGCAGATCTATGAAGTTCCTGCCTCTCTCTCTGTCTCTCTCTCTCTTTCCACTCACCCGTCCCCTAAATTTTCACCACAGGGGGTCTTTAATGCTCGCAAGCCAGCTTGGCCCAGGTCAATGATAATAGCGTTTACGCAGAACTATCAGAATGTTACAGCTTCGCCAAGTTGTCCTTCATAAAAGACATGAAGCCTGGACTGCGAGACCATCTGCAGCTTTTCAGCTGCCATCCACGCTGATATAGTGCCGTGAAAAGGCCAACTGGATCCTCCTTCCTGCTGTGTGCGGAAACATCTGGAACTTAGCAAAGGAGTTTATAGATGCCAGTCAAAGATAGTTGTCTAAATGCATGTCACTGTTGAAAAAGTGGATGTTTTGAATCACAAAGTGTTGTGAAAGAATGTTAAACATGATCATTCATATGTAAAGACTGTCTTGAGTCATTGATTGAACCCCTAAAAGCTCATCTCTATGCATCAAAGTCACACACTTAGACGTGTTTTCCATGATTATAATCCCTTGCTGCCTTAAAAAACGACTTACATGTAACCCTACACTGATGCTTACCTTGCTAGGATGTGCAGATCTATGAAGTCCCTGCCTCTTTTTCCTCTTATGCCTGCAAACTAGCTTGGACCAGGTCAAACTGGACCAGGGGAATGCTGAAACCACATGATCCTCAGGTGGAATGACTTAATTTGTATGTTGTTTAGTGTGCAGAAGCATCTCCATCTGAATAAAGGTGATAAATAAAGACACTGGTCAAAGAAAAATCAAGCTTCTGCAACATACATCAGTGACACACGAACTTAGAAGTCTAATCAAAATGCTGTCTCAATGCACGTCATGCTACTCTAGGGTGCATTTTATTAAACATTTGTTAAAACTATTGGCTGTTGTGTTTTTATTCTAAGATGAAGTACCTCTCAAAACACATTGGAGCTGATTGTCTGTCACAGTAAAGCAATCAAACCAAAACACACACTGAATAAGACATTAAAAAAAATATCTGTAAAATGTCTTTTAATAGGTTGGTGTATTATTGAAAAAAGAAAAAACAGGAATTGAATTTCTTCTTGAGACGTAACAGCGTCTTGATACATAGTGGTGGAATAATAAATCATTCAAGCACAAAAACTTATTCCAAAACAGATGATAATAAAACACACAAACTTAAAAAGTCGATATAATGAACACAGTGGTCAATCTGAAAGACTTCTTCAAGTTTTCTGAATTGTTAATATAATAGTAGTATCATCTTATATGTATTTACCATTTAGGGAAATAAATTACTATTTACTGCTTGTTAATTTTCTCTGAAAATAGTCTAGGTGGTAAAATATGAAGCAGTGGTAAATGCAGTGCAATTTTAGTGTCCCTGTATTTTAACCATTTCTAACAAATGTTCCTTTTGTCTTGCAAAAAAGAAAAGAAAAAGAACTGCATTGAAATGCGACAGGGTTGAAATCAGTTCACTTTAAAACAGTCATTCAGAAATTCGACCTAATATTTAGCACGACAATATGATGCAACTGTTTCCCCACTGGACTGACCATGTTACTGACACTTCTACAGGTAAATTATCATCGATATAATTATAAATATCTGTAGTAAAACTGCACTTCATGAACTGATTGAACTGAAAGTGAATTCACTCCAGCCCTGCACAATATTAAAGCAAATGATGCTGAATACTCGATGGCTTCTTGAAACTGCTACGGCAAATAATATAATTATATTGTGTTTATGTACATAATATACATCTTTTAAATAAGTTACATAATGCACAGGTAAAAGGGTATAGTATCTATTAGGTACATATCATATTACAAAGGTCTGAGACAGTATGGCTTTGTAAATATACATTACAATATTGTCATCAGAAAAAGCAAGTGCATTCAGAGGACTGTCTTTTAGCATCTTGCTCATCTTTCAGTGTGAATGCCATTAATTTTAATAGTAAGTCTAACTGCTACAAGTCTTAAACTGTTTTAAATTTTGATATGGAGACCTTATATGAAAAATATATGACTCTTCCAGCAGACTCAGAAACAACAAGATGCTTGAAAGACAGACGTCTAACTGCATAGGCCACACTACAAAGCATAAGGAGTAGCCTCTACTTGCTAAGCAGCGTTTTAAGGGAGCGGGTGAGTGCGTTAGCAATGGCCGACATGGTACTGGAGTGGCGGACCAGGGCTTTCACGCTGTGCTCCCCTGGTGCTCCCACGGTGGCAGCCTCAGCTGCTTTGAGCAAACAGATATAGTTCATGACGACCTCGTCAACCTTTGCCACGACCTCTCTTTGTTGGTGTGAGGCCGAGGGTCCGAGCCCCCGAACCAGACACATACAAGCTTCGCAGAGACAGCATAGCACCTGAAAGCTACAAGTTACAGCGAGCAGCATTTCCTCAGGACTACTGTGGGCCTGTGCCATCCTCCGACATGCCCGGCCCAGTTCCTTCGACTCGACAGAGAGGAGCGTCTTGTACTGGGATACATCCTGGATCGGCATCTGGACCCCGCGATCGCAGCGACCTATGCTGGACCTCACCAGTGCAATGAGCTCGCTGGCGTCACGGCGGACATCGCTGAAGCCAGATGGGAAGCCATACATGCGGTCCTTGAGGGCGTTGATTCTTGCCAGACGGTCGCTAAAGCTCATGTTATTGAGGACCTCCCCGTACAGCTGCTCCCCGGCAGCATCCACTGCTGAGCCGCAGGGTAATATCGATGATGCAGCAGCATCATTAAAATCATTCCCACCTCGGCTTCTTCTGGGCCTCTCCCACTCAATGTCGTCCTCTTCGCCCTCGCTCTTACGTTTGAAGAAGCAGTAGCTAAAGGGCCCATTGCATCTCCAGGGGCTGGTGTCCAATTTTTGAGAGCCCTTCATGTGTTTTGCATCTTTCTGTAATGGAAATGCTACAGATGCTCTTCTACTGTCGACCCTATTGCCTGTAGACCAGCATGTAGTGTGGGAAGATACAGAGCCTTGGGAGTAGCTCTTGGAGAGCCGCTTCCTCGTTGGTCTTCGTTGGACTTTGGTGTCACCTTGCTGGGACACAGATGGTGATAAGGGCTGCTGGCTCCGGCTTCGGGTGGGTTTATCAAACAGAACTTCCACGCTACCAGAACTTGCGGTGATATTGCTCGTGCTGCGTTTGAGCTCCCGGCCACGTTGCAGGCTATTGCTAAAGTGATCCGTCTGCGGCAGGGTCGGGGTGACAGCCTGAATGTGGTTCTGATTCTGCCGGGACTGAAGGGGATGGATGGAATCTTGTGGGCATCCTGAGTTGCTGGAGCTGGTGTTGGGCAGAGACAAAGGAGGAGGTGGTGGAGGTGGCGGTGGAGGAGGTGGACATTGGGGGTTTGGTGTTGGAGATGTAAGACAAGCTCTGCTGCCAGTAGACGCCTGCCTGATAAAAGCTGAAGGGTGATCTCCTCTTCCAAGTGAGAGGGTGTTGAGGTCCGCCCGCTGACCACTTACACCGGGGACGCCAGAGAAACAATCATTCGGACGAGAATGAGGGGACTGACGAACCGCATGTTTGGACCTCGGTTCTGATTTGAACCAGTCCTCTGAGCTGCTGCTTGGTTGGCTTCTTGACCGAGGTGGCTGCCTGTTCATGGTACCTCCACCCTCACGGTTTCCTCCTGTGATGATACCCCCGTCACGACCAACGCACCCCTCTCTCTTATAGAGCGACAGGAAGTGCTCAGGGTCCATACCGCTCCTCTCTAACTCACTTTCTAGGCCAGAAAAGGAGCTCCTCCTCTCAGAAGTAGCTGGCCTGAAATCTGAACTGTCATTTGGCCTCTGAGCATGCATGTCAGGACTTCTCTTGAGTTTGGCAGGAAGTGTGGCAGAATGATATGAACTTGAATTTCTATTAGACATCTGCATGGCAGCTGCGTTAGGGTTTACCATATTTGGGCTAAGAAATGGGGATGATATGGATGAAGGCATACATGGACAACGAGCAATGGTGTTCCCCCGATTCTTAACCATTTCAACAAGCTGTGGGTTGCTCGTGATAAAGCGCCTGGTGTCCTTTTTCACTGCCCCGCCCATGCCTGCACTGTGCAGCTTCCCTCCCTGATGCATCTGGCTGACTGTTAGATAGTTAATCAGCTGTCTGTAGGCCTCGCTGCCTTCCTTCTGGTTCAGACCCTTCAAACAGGCCTGTTGTTTCGCGAGCAGATCATTGTGAGACCTCTTACTTCCGGAACCTGACGCCTCTTTATGCTTAGATGGCGTGGCTGAGGAGGGTCGGCTCTGCTCGGCGGGGGCGTGAATATTGGGCAGCATTTTCCGGAGTAGGGCAGGGTCTGCGTGAGGGTGGAGGTCTTTTCCCTGAGCGCTCTGGCCAGCGATGCCGAGAGGGACTCCAGGTTTGTTATCTTCGTAGTTTAGCACCCTGAGTAACGAGGAGGAGGAACTGGAAAGCGGGTGCCTTTGCAAATGATGGTGTTTTGATTCAACCGCACCAGGGCCGAGTGGTGAGTCTGTTGGAGTGGCACAGGCACTACTGTTCGTGCTGCCACCGGCATCCAGTGATGAGCACAGAGAACCCTGCAGTGAACTGTGGGCTTCTCCTTGCAGACTAGAAATCCTCTTTGCTAGATGGTACTCACATAACCGTGCAACACTTTGTTGTCTCGAAATTGGCTGATGGTCACTTGGTACATCTGAACCCTGGTCAGACCCCCCAGATCTGGATTTTTTTGTAGGGGACAGCAATGATGCTACGACTAAATGTTCATCTTGCTCTGCAGCTGCGGCTCCATTATCTGTACCACAATCCCCTAAGTTGGCAACGTCCAAGAGGCGATCAGAAATAGCAGAGGAAGGGCGGGGACTTCTGTGGTGGTCACGAGGGAGGCTGTTCACTCCAAGGCCCTCGGCCACAGAATTTTCTGCCAAAAAAGAATTCTGTCTTCTCTGACTTTCTCCTTGCTCGCAGAATGAAGTGCGCTGGTCCAAGTCAAAATGTCTGCGGCTGTCACCTCTTTCAAATCGATGTCCGTCCCTTGTGCTGAAGGTGTTATACTTTCCACTAGAGTCTGCAGATTTTTTATGGTGCTTTCCTCCTGGCGTGGTGGAACTTGGACGCTGGAGAGTAGCTGAGAGATTAGTCTGGGACCTTATCTCCAAGCTTCCTGATGATGTAGTGTCCAACTGGGGGCTCCGCCTTGGAGGAACTGCAGGAGGCTGAAGGTGCCGTGTTGGACTTCGGGCTTTCTTCTGTATTGTTCCTCCTGTGCTGGGGGAGACGGGGAATTCTGTCTTCTCCTCAAGTAAAGGTTGGTAACCTTCCCTGGTAGCCACCAGAAGACGCATGTGGCTCTCGGTCAACCTGTGGGTAGCAGCTAGTTCAGAGATTTCAGTCATCTCTGAGGAGTTGGTCTCATTTCCAGAATCTGAGGATGACTCGGGGCTAAAGCCACGAGATGCGTAAACACCTAGAAGACAAGAGATACAAAATTAAATATCAATCGCTCAACTGAAAGTTAATTTCTGTGCACCAAAATAAATGTAATACAGATAAAAATGTGCATTATATGAGGGATGGTCAAACATTTTAGATGCTGTTAGTAGTGCAGGCTTAACAATCCTGTTTTTGTGACTTCTGGCAAAATTAAAATCAGTTATGGTTTTTGATTTTTATAGGTTGAATTTTTTTGATTACCCCTCGTACAAATGGTTTTTGTTCTAAAGTCATTGATGTGTTTTGGGAGTTTACTCACATAAAGAGGGCAAGAGCTGAAAGTTGCTGGGAGAGAGAAACTGCTTTTTTTCTGATGAACCAACACAAATGAAGTTGTGCACATTTTATGGTCTGAATGATCAAAAGAGAATTAAACAATGTCGTGTGAAGCTCCCTGCTTATTTAGTGAGGGTTAGAGTGAGTACAAATGAGTAAAAATCAATGCGAGACAAAGACATAAAAGACGGGGATCAAACATTATTGTGCTTGCATTGGATTACAACAGACCTGGATTGTTACCGCCGGGTGGAGGAGGAGGGGGCGGCCTGTGTTCAGAGACGGAGAGAGCCTCCAGTGCTTGAAGAGTATTCATGGCCGCATTCTCCCGCCTTCTCTCCCCTCCCCTGCTGCCCTCCCCCTCCCCGTGTGTGGGAATGGCATCAATCAACGACACCGGGATATCGTCATTTTCACGTGTGCTTAGAGGCCTTCCCTCAGGCGCCGCGTCCTCGTCTGAACTGTCCCGAAAGCCAGGCGGTGGAGCTGCGATCGCGAGGTTGAGCGTCTGCAGCAACGCGTCGTCTTCGTCGTCGTCGACGCCGTCGTCACCCTCGGGGGGAGGCAGGGAGGTCAGGTCGATGATGTCATCGGTCGAACCGGAAAGTGAGAGGAAGGTAGCTTTGCCGGCTGCTGTGGGTAATCCTCCACCTTGGTTTGCACCTTGTCTCTCGTCGCCCACAGGTGTCCCCCCGGTGGAGTCTTCCTCGCAGGAAGCATCGTCGTCATCTTCTGCGTCGTCCGTCGTGTCGCGGTAAAACAGATCCCTAAGCAGCGGCTCCTCGCCACCTTCCTCGCTTATAATGTTACTATAGACGTGTGTGAGACCGCTGAACTGAAATGGCACTCTGTCCTGTTGCCGAAAGTCTGTGTTGTTGTGCAAGTAGGGTGGTCTGTGCTCGGGCACCTCGGGGCTCTCCAACAGTCTTTCGTAGCCTAAGTTCTTGGGCTTGTTCAAAGGCGGGTTCCCCCCAAAAATAAACGACACTTTGGAGCTCCGAGGTGAGTCTTGAGGTTTGTGTCTGGTGGCGGGGGGAAGAGGAGGCGGCAACGGACTTCTTCTTGTCCCAAGGTCTCTGTCAGGGTTTTGGGGTTCGTGGAAATAAGGAGAGATGCTGTTCTCCCTCTGCCCATTATCGGAGTACTCAGAGTCTCTGTTGTAGACGTCTCCTTGGCTGGGTGACGGCTCCTCGTTGTCCCCCAGAGATGTGCTGTATGGCCACTCCAGGACACGATCCTGACCTGCAGGCAGCAGCAGCAACGCAAGACTTTTATTACTTTATGTGTTTTATATTTTATTTTGATTAAATTTTAAAGCATTCTCTTCATCAGAACTCTGAGTGCTCTACTTCAACATGTTTGAGGTTTCACGCTGCACTGTAAAGCATCAATTTTTAAGTCTTTTTCTTCCACAATGTGTCAGAGTCAGAGTGATCATCAACTTCTCAACTTTTTTTCAGTTTCATAGGGAGTTTTCTGCCAGAACAAAGATCTTGCTACTGTTTCAAATGCACTTTTTGAGAAATGACCAACATAAAGTGTCCTAAACTAGTGACTTAGAGCGATTGATGCCTTTATATATATATTTTTTTAAATCTGTAGTATCTTGATTACACAATGCACACAATATATCATAAGAACTCACTATTGTCGTCCCCTCCTGTGCTGTTGCAGTGGGCCATGCTGAAAATAGATCTCCTTGAGTCCACTAGGAGGCGATAGTAGCCTGCTGTTAGACAGGCAAGGTTCATTGCATCACTGGACTCCATGATAAGTGTGATGGGCTGTGAAAAAAAAAAGAGGGAAGGAGGCAAGCAAGGGCAGAGGGAAAAAAAAAAAGAGGAAAAAACAACAGATGTTAAAATTATGCAGGGCAAAGTGGTGTTTTCTGGCACTTCTGTTTTCTGCGCTCACCCTGACATCCAGAACATGCAGCTCCAGTCGGACGTTGGTCTCATCCTCAGTGAGAATCTCAATGCGGTTGACGTGGCTGAAGTCGGCCAGCAGGGCCACGAGGTTGGTTCGGGCGTTGATGACGTGGCTGATGCCGTAACGTGGACCCACTAACAGCGTCACCTCTGTCTGTTTCTCACCTTGCTGCAGACAGGAGTGTATATGCATCACACAGTTAAAAAGGATTTATCGTCCAGAAAGTTGCCGGACAAAACTGAAGTTCATTCTCAAACTTTTGCAGATCCTTTCTGGAACTAATGTCCTTACCAAAAGTATTGATTTGAACTCCCTCCCTCCGTAGAGTCTGAGTTCACTGAGGTACCTCAGGTAATGCACCTTGGCCTGCAAAGCAGTCAGCTGGGCAGAGAGAGGTGAAATACATTAGTAGGCATCTAAAACAAAATTACTTGAACAGATGCATTTGTCTTCTAATGTCAGGATGTAAAGCACTCTCAAGCCATTCTGATCTGGACCACTGGTTTTCCATTATATTCCATCATATCATTTAAATCAGATCAGAATCTGAGGAGCGGCTCCACTGCAGCGCTCTGTGGCTTTGCCAATGTGGATGTGTGCCTCTTCAGTCATTTAGGGCCAAGAGGAGTTTCAAAATTTAAACGTACAATCTTTTTCAAATTACCGATGTTATCACCTGAGTGAGATGCGATTGTGTAGGTGACCTTAAGTTTTATCCCTTCACTCTTAAGTCTTTACTACACCGCCTAATCCACAGTAAAAACCCATTGATATTTAACTCACCATTAATCTCACAAACAAAAGGCTAATGGGATGTTTGACCTTGTCGGTTAAAACCTGACGTCTGCATTACAAAATGTGTGTTTTTGAAATTGTTGCTCAGCCATTTTTTTGTGTTGTTTTAGCAGAATAGAGTCTACTGATGGAGGCTGAGTGATAACTTCAAGACTGTAATGAGAAAGGTGACTTGGAGCGTCAACGGTTTGAATTGAATGTCAGTTTATTGATGCTGCTTGGCTGTATTTCTCCCTAATGAATAGGCAGGACAGTAACCGCCACTGTGCATACAAATGATTAGTCAGCGCGTCATGCTGCTCAGGCCACAACATTAAAACCGCTGGAAGGTGAAGCGAATAACATTGATCACCTTGTTACAATATTCTGCTGGGAAACCTTGAGTCCTGGCGTTTATGTGGCCGTTACTTTGACATGCACCACCCACCCAACAGCACTCCCCGAAGGCAGCGGCCTCTTCCAGCAGGACAATTTACCCCACCGCACAGCAGAAATTGCTCAGGGACTGCTCACGGAACACAACGAAGAGCCAAAGGCATTGACCTGGCCTGCAAACTCACTGGATTCCAATCGCAGGAACACACCCCCTCCACTGAGGCCTCGCTCCGCAAAGCACAGTACCCAAAGGATCTGCTGCCAATGTCCCAGTGCCAGACACCACAGGACACCTTCAGGAGGTTCTGCGTCCATGCCCGGATGAGTCAGAGCTATTTTGGCAGCACGAGGGGGACCTACAGAATATTAGTGATTGTCGTACATAACACAACCTCAATGTCCTCATTTTTCAAATCTCTTGAACTCCACTGAACGGACGGAACATTATTCTTCCAAGCAATACTTTCTTCCTTTGGTGTTTTGATGATGGAGACGCTGTCTAACACATCCGTCTAAAGTCTCCCATTGGTGTCCATTCGGGTTGACTGTCAAGGCCACGGCACATGATTTACATCGAATCATTGTGGATGGGTGTGGTGTCATCCTGAAGTAGATAGAAATGCATCATCACAGGATGAAGGTGATCACATAGAATTGCTTTGTATTGATTTGGCCAAACGATGACCTCCCGTTGCATAACGGAGCCACTGAGTCCTTCCATGTAGGGGTGAAAAGTTCAGAGTCTTTTCCTAAAATTTGCCCCCGAACATAACGTATAGGTGTGCTTAACCTTGACTACATTCCTTCATCTGCTATGTAAAGCTGTATCACGTAGATTAACACGGAGCAATGCCGTTTTGCATGCCGACATCCAGCTTCAGCGCATGCTTCATGGCTCAGAGGCTGCAGCCATCATTTCCCGGATAATAAATAAATATATTGTCACTATAAAGCAACACATTAGACTATGATGTGTATCGAATGTGAGCCATAAAACCGACAGAGGACATAATTTAATTTGTAGTGACTCTTTCACATTCTTGTCACATTTATTCTTTTTTTTTTTTGGAATACTTTGTAGAGAGTAAAACAGCAGAGTTCCCAGCAGAGCGCTCAAAAGAAATATAGGAACAACATGAGCGTACATAATGTTCAGTCAGGATTGGTACACAATATATATGTTTGTTGTGATGAAGGAGCGTGTGTTTGTAATTGTTTTCTGGAGCTCTCTGTCTATCATTATTGATGTTTTAATGGGATTTGTGGACAATAAGAAAAGCATCTTGAGCTTAATCTTTGAATTTTGTGGCCTTATTTGTTGCTTTAGTATGTTTTTGTGCAGCGTGAGAACTCAAGAACACAATATCTCACGTGCATCAGAATTAAACATCTCCGAGATAAAAAGGAAAAAAAAAGTCCAGCCCCATCGCTCATTTCCCTCCTCGACAGTATATTAAAATCTACAGCAGCAGCTCACAAGCAAGTGCTGTTGACTTAACATAAATTCAATCTGTCTAACTCTGATTCACTAACCACATTTGCATGACAGCCGAAAGTAAATCACAGGCTACGGTTAAATCTCCAGCATAGGTTAATTCTGTTTTGGTCTGCCGCCGCTGATTTGTACTTGCCAGAGTTGATATGCAGACAAGCTGCTTGTATCATTAAAACAGTTTCATAAAAAGCTAAAAAAAAAGTTCAGCCAAAGTTGGATTAGCAGCCCCTGACTGGGACATGTGTGTGTGAATATGAATATCTTATTATGCACCGAGCTTGACAGTGTTATTCGCATTAGCATTCAAGGCCTGGCTCGGCAAAGGTCTTAAGTTGACGAGGGTGGGAACCTTTACAAGGTTGAATATGGCAGCGATGCTATTTTAGGATATTGCATCAGAAAACAGATAGACTGTGTGTTTGTGTGTGTGTGCGTGTGTTTTAGAAGTTTATTAACAAGGGCGAAGAAAGACAAAGAGCGCTGGTTACTTTTTTCCCTGGAGGCACGAGGTTCTGGTTGGTTTTGAGGATGTGTGTCAGGGCCTTCTTGATGTTTTTCTCCTTCATGCTGGACAGCACAGCGGGAGGCAGGAACAACGACAGACCCCACTCCTTTCTGTGGAGAGGAGATTGATTTCAGCATAAAGCCGTCCTTGGAAAAAAAAAAAAAAGCATTTCCACCGGACCTTGGTTAAACACTTTGGGCCTAAAGCTGGGAATCGGATGACGCTCGCTCTCAGACAAGCTGTCAGGAACAGAACAAAAACACTGAGTTGACTTTCAGGAGGACAACTTTCTCTGTGGAGGATGGTGGAATTTTTTCTGTGCTGAAAGACTTTGCGGTGCTGCAATATGCCGACGTAGCGTCTAGAAAAGCGGCAAAGTGTAGACAGAATATTGATTTTGCAGTATTATTTTTGGTACTATTTCATTTCAGTTTGGTAAGGCATCAAAATCAAATTAGACAAGTATGTTTTTCTCTTGTGGTGAAAAACCTGGACCAATAGTGGATTTTTCTTGTTCAAGAGCATCTATGAATGGAACAAACTCTCTCAACTCTCTGTACGCCAAGCGGTTTCTGTGTATTTTCTTTTGCTCGTGTCACCTTTTTACTCACCGTGGCCTCATTTTTCACTGCAATATAAAGCCATGCTTCTCTATGAAAACAGCATAACCATGGCTAGAAGGACAGAGAACTGAAAACGGCCTCTGTGCAGTATGATTAGGTTGTATTGCCAGAAAAAAATTAAGTTTATTTGATAACTTATTTTACAATATTAATTGAAAAATTAAAATAGAATCAACACGCATAGCATTTTTCCAAGTGCCCAAAAGTGCTACCGATCACAAAAAAAAATGTACTCCCTATATACTTTAGATATTTTACTGCTTGTATTTTTAATTTGAGTCTCATCTGCTCTGTGGAAACACTGTCTACAGTTCAGCCAACTTCCATGTAACAGTCCCTAAATTTTTTGTCATTTGACTTGTGGTTGCACCTGAGTCACTCGTGGCTTTCTGGTTGTAACAAGGAATGCAGAATTTTTTGTTTTTCACAGAATCTGTTTCATGCAAACTGTTTATTTTTGGCAATATTTTAAAAGAGACAAGAAGTAAAAAGAGATTTTGATGGTTTTAAGCCTAGATTGGGATTATTTTCCTGATGAAGCCACATTTTTCAGGCGATCACTTCTATGGCTATCCAAAAATTAAAAACCAAAAGATTGTTTTTGTTTTTACAGTGTTTGGTTCTGATAATTCGTGTCACTTTAGTGTTTTTAAAAAAAACAAAAAATGGCTTTCAAAGATGCTGGTGAGTTTTGGGGTTAAATCACTAGATGCTAGAGAAAAATTCTTGATTGTGAAACCAAATATGTCCAACCAAGTAAGAAACAAAAGGACAAAGTATTCAACTAAACCTGACAAACTCCTTTGAAACCATCAAAAAACTTCATTCATTGATGATTCAGCTCCAGGCAGTACAACAGTTGAACATTACAGATCATGTTGGCAGTGACAAAAAACTCACACGTACCTATACATTGCAGTTACACACAGACTTACTGGATATATTTGAGTGAGACCTTCTGACTCTGCCTGGTTGTCATGGTGAGGATGTACATCTGCAGGGCAGCCAATCGCAGCGCGGCGTCGTACTTCAGCTCCGGGCCGAACCGTTCTAGGACCACGTCGTTGCAACTCTGCGCCAAAGCAGGAAGAAAAGTTTACGTAAGTAAGCCCAAAGTCAAGTTTGTGGTCTTGTGAGACGCATTTTTTATCTCTCCAAAGAGCAAATGCAGCAGCAGTGCATCCCTGCTGAGCTGAAGTAAGTTGTTCTCAACCTTGGTGGCTTGAGATCCCTTCAAAGGGATGCAGCTTCCAGTCGGAAGCACATAACGGTGAACTCTGACAAGAAAAGATGATTAGCGTTCCTTGTTCCAGGCTATTTCACTTGACTAATTATCAGAGGAATCCTATGGGGAAGCAATTTATTATTTTTCAGGGAAGGAGTTTATACAAGAGTTTATTTGAAGACTTTATTTGCACATGAGGATTTTCTCTTGAAAGGATTAATAATTAAAACACAGTTAATCATCAAAAGTCATTTCCAAACCGTTTGGTGACATTTATTTGTTTATACTCTGGAAATTTTAGCTTATTTACTTTAAAAAATGCTCATATCGGCACTGTTTACCTGAACATAGAGGTATTCAAATGCCACGGCGTCTCTCCGGAGCAGCTCCACAGGGTCTCTGGGCACGAAGCTGATTCTAAAGAAACACTTCATCTTGTCAGAACCGGGCCTCTGGGTCACCTGGGGTGGAAAGAGATAGACAAATAAAGACAGAACAAAACCAGTTTTATGCAAAATTAGAACTTAACTGAGGTGCAAGTAGGGATTATTATGAGTTTGAGGAATAGTGGTCCTGGAGCAAGTAGTGATGAGAGGTGAAAGTTAACAGTATTAGCAGCTGCAGTGGGAGTCAAAGTATCAGTAAGAGCATTACAAGTAATTCAATACTTGTACAGCTACACTTAAAGACAGAAAGGAGGAGAAACAAGAGTTTAATGAGAGATGACGTTGCATTGTGGAAAGTGTAGGATTCAGAGCTTCGGGTTACTTACATTCTATATATAAGTAACTAACTGTACTAAGTATAAGTAAATAAATAAATAAATAAATAATAAGTAAATAACTTGCATGGATTTTGTGCAATCTTGAGAAAAACCTCACTCTTGTGATGCCTAACTTTATAGAAGTGCTGCTAGAATGTCACCATAAAGTGCTCTTTAAAGATGAAAGTACATGGCCGGCTTCCTAGATTTTACTTCAGAGAATGCACAGATGTAGTATTTATCAGCAAAGTATACTAAAGCATCATGTGTGAAAGTATGATAGCAACTTAGAAAAATGAATTAAGTGATTATTATTCCTACTACACTGCCACATAGCAGCATTTTAATTATAACTGGTCATGAGTATAATATACCAGGAGTTGATCCACTGGTTTGCACAACCATCTTTGACCCACAGACTCCCTAAAATAATGTGATATTATGATATTACATTATATAATGTCATATAATGTGATATTTATGATGTGGTTTATTTTTTTCTTTGTGTGTGTGTTTTATTTCTATGTCTTTATATTACTAACTCAGTGAGCTTTTGAATTGCTCCAAGGGGATAAATAAAGTTATTTGAATTGAACTGAATTGAATTCCATCCGGGCTGCAAGGTGGCTCGGTGGTTAGCACCGTTGCCTCACAGCAAGAAGGTCACCAGTTCATGTCCCAGTGAGGACACTCAGGATCTTTCTGCGTGGAGTTTGCATGTTCTCCCTGGGCAGCGTGGGTTCTCTCCGGGTTCTCTGGCTTCCTCCCACAAGGTCCAAAAACGATGGATGAATTGAATTGAATTCCATCCCAGTTTCTTTTCATCCTGCTACTGAACATGTGACCCTCAGCCCCTTTTTGTAGAGACAACTGTTTTAAAGAGTCCCTCTTGTGCACATGTACAAGTTACTAATTTTATTTTTGGAATCCTCTAAAGTATGCTGACATGCTTTAATGTTCAAGGAACATAATATTTTCCCTCATACTGTACATACTGCTACAGCAGCTCTTCTCTCACTCTGTTTGAAATGCTCAGCTTTAGCTCTTGTCTCTTTAAGGCTCCTGCAAAGTCCAGTCTGCTCTGATTGGTCAGTTGGCCTGACAAAGGTGAGACAACATGGAAGAATGAGGAAAGGTAGCCCCAGCAGAGGAGGCTCAAGTGAGGAAATAACAGACGACAAAGCTGCTCTGCTTTTTGTTCACTGTTAGGCAGTCTGTTTCTGTACATTGTTTGTGTACTTCAAACAAGTTTTCTGTGCGGGGAGACAAAATCCCTGTTGTATGTGCTGCACTTATCCTCTGCACCCCATTACAACTGCTTCATTAGACCGACGCCATTGTGCGATTAGTCAGATCGAACTAAAAATATCCTGCGTGTACAGCTGGAGCAGGTATTTGCCAAAGTCAGCTCGGAGCTCAGACACGCTGACACACGGGTGCCACCTCATCAACCGATCTTCAGAGGCTCCCAGAACAATCTGTCTTTAATGCTGCCGGGCGCTGCCTCCAGGTGGAAGACAAGAGCTCTTAAGGAGAGTGAAAACCTCTTGCTTGTCTTTTCCATTCACAAGTTTGCAATCCTTTTATAAACACAAAAAAGCTACAACACACTAAAAAAAAAAGGGAAAAACTCAGAAAGCAGAACAGTAGCTTGTTAATCAGGCTTATTATCATCATGAGCATATAAGGTTTTCTTCGTAAAATCTGCTAAATAACTGTCAAACAAACGCAGTGGAGGAAAAGGTAGTAGCACAGGTGAACCACATGTAGCACCAGCAGAAGCAACATTAATAGTGAAACTTAAGTGGCAGCAGCTTTCAGATTCATAATCACATCAGAGCTCTTCAAGTCACTACAACCCGAAGACACGGTTGTGTAATTCAGCAGCAGTAACCCAGAAAAACTAAACTTGCTTGCAGGGTCATCTGTGCATTTGATTCCATCTCTTATTCAAGAGAAAACCACAAGACCAGCATCATCTTTAAAATATTGATCGTATTTTATACATTATTTAATATCTGAGAGCAGAGAGGGCCGATAGAGAAGAGTGAGAGCTGATTTTCCATTTCAAGCACTACCAGCTTTCTCCAATGCACCTGTCGCCGAGATTGACGCCCAGGTGTATTAAGGCGCAGTGTACGGTTTAGCGGCTCTGTCATAGAAGAATGACTCTTAAACATTCTTTGCCATTGTGTGTGCCACATGCAGAGCTTCACATCTGAACTATGTGGTATGAATATTAAAACTGTCCTCTTGTGATCCTGCTGCCTCATTAGAATGTAGCGGGCACTGTGGGTGAGTGTGTGTGTGTGTGTGTGTGTGTGTGTGTGTGTGTGTGGGAGGGTAGGTGTAATGTGAGCTGTCGCCCCTGCTGTGCCTGTGCTGATAAATGACACTGGGGTCTAAATGCTGCTTGAATACTGAGCAGGAAATGTGTGTGTGTGTGTGTGCGGATGTCGGCGTATGTGTGCGAATCAGACGTAAAAAAGAGACACCAAAAAAAAAATAAAAAAATGAAGGAAAGAGGAAACATCTACCTGAGTAAGCATCTCCTGTTCGTGCAGGAGAAGCAGTTTGCTTCCAGAGCCTTCAGTCCTCTGCTCCAACATGAGGGAGAAGTGCTCGATGCATTTGATTGACAGCTTCTCTTGCAGGGTCAGGATCACTTCCTGAAATGACAATGCAAAGAAATTCATCAAAATAGTTTTGTACTATTATTTAATCGAGATGACATATGCCTTAAGAAATAGACTCAAAGAAGGAGGACAACTTTTGTTCCCAGAGCTGTCCTCCTTCTAAATGCACAACCATCTCTGACCCTCTGACTCTCTGCCAATGCCAATGTAATATAATGTAATATAATATTTATGATGTCGTTTATTGTTTTAGGTGGTGGTGCAGAAAACATGTTGAGGATGATTCTAAATTGTCCATAGGTGTGAATGTGAGTGTGCTTGGTTGTCTGTCTCTAAGTGTAGCCCTGTGATAGACTGGTGACCTGTCCAGGGTGTCCCCTGCCTTCACCCTGAGTCAGCTGGGATAGACTCCAGCCCCCCTGTGACCCTAGTGAGGATGAAGCGGTGTATAGATAATGGATGGATGGATGGATGTCTTTATATCAAATACTCAGTGAGCTTTTGAATTGCCCCGACGGGATAAATAAAGTTATTTGAATTGAATTGTATTGAATTTTTCAGCTACTATCAAAGAAATCAATGTATTTTTCAAAACATAAAATCCAGCAATGGGCACCAATAACTTTGGAAAACCACTGCTGATTAAAGATGTTATTATGAAAGTCAAATGTTTTTACAGTAAAGACATTACTGCATATCTAAAAAACGCTATTAGTCATGTATTTGTATTGTGTGTTTTGTGTCATTTTTGGTAAACAAAATTCCACACATACATGTAAAAAGCTAGAAGCTTTTTCTAAATACTGTCACCACATACGAATGTTTGTGCACAAAAGGCAACCAGAGGAACTGAATCCTGAAGATCTGTGAACTCAGTGTCAGCTGAAACCAGCCACTATGTTGGAACTTCAATGAAAAAATACCACAGTAATCATCAATACTAGTATATGACGTTTTGTTCTGTTTTAGATCTTTCTCAAGCTGTCCCCCTGACATCTTCAATTTTCTTTCCAATCTTTTCATTGTTGTAACACATTCTGGAAAAACATAATGTGAACCAGCAAAAAAACCCCAAACAAATACTCCTTTTTTTAGTGTGAATACTGACTTTCTAGAGCATACTTCATTCCATGACACTGCATAGCACAGTGGGCCCCTCACTGGATTTAATGTTTTGTATGGAACTGGGCCACAACTATAGAGGTCCATGTGGGGAAACATATGCCTAATATATGAAGGCATTATGCATGAACTTGGTGCAGATTTACACAATATGGCTTGAGTGCCTGCAACAGAAGCAAACAGAGAAGTTCTTCACATTCATCTGGAGAGGCAGTGAAACAGAGGTTGACTTATTGAGGTGATAACTTCATTTTTTTCCCTCAGTTTCCCTCAATATAAAAACATGTTTTGGTAAATACGTTTTTTTGTTTTTTTGCTCCCTGTCGCTCATCGGATGATTTGCTTTTTGCTTTATTGAAGCTTAGGTAGCTTACATGAGCATGAGGAGAGAGCTACAGTGCTTAGAGGAGCTCGGCAGCAGAGATCAGATGGGTGAGCTCAGTTTAAGGTGGAAGGCAGCAGCTGTGACTGAGTTCATCACTGAGTCATGAAACATCCACCTTGCCAATTATACAGCCTCACGCTGAGCCTCGAAATCTTGTTTTCAGAAAATAAGAAGTCCTGTCCTGAATAGAATAAAAAGCAGCCCTTGACTGACTGTGGCTCACATCTGAACTGTCAGTCACCTTTATTATAAATACAGATAACTTACAGGACAGCTTTTGTGTTATCTATGTACTTCCCTTTACTTTTTTTTAATGATTATTCAAAGATTGCTATCAAAAAATACCTACTATTGCACTTTCACATTTAAACAAACAGAGCGCTGCTAATGCACAAATCTTTGCTGCATATTAAAATAAAGTTCTCTGAATTCAGTGCATTACTCGAGGCAAAATATAAATAAAACTGAACCCAAAACCCCTCACTTGCTGAACACCAGCTTACCGATTGACACTACAATGTTCCCTGAATGCATCACCTGTGCACAGAGAAGCCTCTAGTCTCCACTTAGTCACTGCAGCACAAACAACCCAGACAGGTGTGTGATCCAAAATGACTTCTAATGCTAGATTTTGCAAAGTTGAAACCCAGAGAATGAGTTTTCTTTTAAATGTCAATATCGCAGTCGATCATGTAATGACGGGAAGCCAAAATCATGATGATGGCTTAAATCTGATTAGCTGTGCAGCCCTCATCGATTGGGATGAAGTTAGTGGCTTAGCAAGGTTCCTCAGTAGCATAACTCAGATACTTTAAAACCTAAATTATGCTGGCGAGGAATTAGCAAAACTAGAAAGACAGCATGTAATTCCAGTTGTCACTGATGTCCCACCGACTACACAATGTTGGGTTGAAGGGTCGCAAAGATACAATACAGATTCTGCTCATCAATATTCAACCTAAGGCCTTATTAAGATAACGTTTTTTTGCACTGAGGCTAACAAGACAAACTCATTATGCTCTCTTTCTTTCTAAACTCCACACTGGGAGCAGCCGAGGATCACAACTGAATGAAAATCAACAAGTGGAGAAAAAAAAAAAAAAAAAGCTCTCCGCTACGTCGACTGAATAAATAAGCTGCTCAAACAAACGGAACTCAAAAAGCGACTGAATTTCACGGTCGGCGTGCGTATCCAGACGCACTAATTTGAACTTTTAAATGAATTTCTGTGTTTGTAATTATAGATTCAGCGGAGGCTCGCTGGTTTCGTGAAGTGCGCCCTGAAGCGCTGAAAACACACCTTGATAGAGGTACTGCTGTCAAAGCGAAAAGACTTTGTCTGCCCGTTCTCCAGGTAGACCTTCAGGACATTTGGCATGAACAGAAGAGAGTTGTCCTTCACCGGGTTCTGCAAAAGATGGAGTGTGATCAGTGGTCGGTTGAAAGAACTTCAATGTCATGTCATAACTCATTTCGGTGATTTTCTTATCTGTCTTGCGGTCGCTGAGCCGTCTGTCTGAGGTGAAAACCATCTGGCAGGGCCTATATAGGTCATACATAAGTGTGTACGTGTGGGAGAACTCACTGGAACCTGGCCGTTTATAATGACCTCCTCAGCAAAGCGCACTTTGACCGGATTGGACTTGAGCATGGCTTTTTTGGCTGCACTGATGAACGCTGATTTAGGGGACTAAGAGGCAACCGTCCAAAGAGAGAGACAGAAAGAGAGAGAGGGGGTGGAAGAGGAAGAAAGAGATAGACAGATGGAGGGAAAGAGATAAAGAGAGGCATAAACACGTGCTCACATGCAGAGAGGGAAAAAAAAAACAGGTCTCCAGCACATTGAAATTTGTGGTTTTGAACTAGATCTATATTTAACATTCATATGAAACAAGCACTTTTACCTCAGACTCCTAAAACTGTGATTCATTTGACCAAAAAATTAAAAATGAGGGAACATAGTGTAATTCTTTCATCTTCTTCAAAAGACAAGGTTGTCATTATTTTATAATTTTCTTGATAAAAAGACCAAAACCAAAACTGAAAAGGCTTTCTCTTCTGCTACATTTAACCGAATGGAAGAACTTTAAATACACCATTTTACATTTTCAAAATGCTCAGAAACTTCACAAAACAGCTGGGCACTGGAGTTTTTTCACATATGTTACTCAAAGTGGGAGAAATAGTTTAATTTTTGGGTCTATTTTCTGAGGTGGATTGATACACAGGAGCATGCAGATTTCACTCAACACATAATTCAGATGCAATTTATTTATGAGCTCTTAAAGGACTTCTTGTCCATGTTGTTCTTCAAACAGTCAGCATTATTCTTAGCAAAAATTCTTGTAGTTGATTGTACTCGATTGATCTTCAGCACTGCTTCTTGGCTCCACGTTCAGGCTTTACAAAATCTAACCAGTGATGCAAGATTTCAGCCGATCACACGTATTTTATCAGGTGAGATAGTATAACATAAGGCATAATAATTAATAATTTGGATCTTTCCCACTGTTGCCAACCGCTTGCTCAGAGGAAGGCAACTTTGGATTGTTGAGTTCTCTGTTTAAATTTGTAAGGTCTATACCAGGGGTGTCCAATCCTGGTCCTCGAGGGCCACAATTCAAATGATCAGCTCATCATCAAGCTCTGCAGAAGCCTGATAATGATCCTGATCATGTGAATCAGGTGTGTTGGAAGAGGGAAACATCTAAAACATGCAGGACTGTGGCCCTCGAGGACCAGGATTGAACACCCCTGGTCTATACCTTACTTTGTTAAGCGTTACGTGTGATAACATATGTTGTAAACTGCGCTACACAAATAAAATTGAATTAAAAATTTAATTGAATTTTAGCTTCACTATTTCTGAATTGCATGCATACGCCCATGCTCGTCTGGTGGGAGGGGCTTAGGACTTGGCCGGATTTCTGCCTTCTGTAGCTCAAAAGCCTGAGTTTAAAAATTCAGTATTTTAGCTGCTGGCAAGAAATTATTTTACCGAAAGCTGAACCAAACGTACACATGAATCATCTACATCTCTTTACTGTTGGTTTTGACCTTTTTAAGGGACATTTTGACGAAAGTAGTAATTCTGAATATCGCTAGATTCAACCTTTAAGTGCAGGAAAGAAATGAACAGGCCTGGAGGAGGGTTTTGGAAAGCTCAAACATCATCCTTTATGCAGATGGATATATTTTTCTAACTCAGAACTATGAGCTGTCATCATGCTTCTGAAATCATATAGAAACATCAGTTATTGTGACAAAAATGATATTCATCTGAACCCTCAACATGTTTCATATATGAATATACGGCATATGGGGAAACGCTATTTTTAGATTCTACATATCAGCACAAATACATCTCCCAACAAGTGCGTGATCTACTCACAGGATACGGTTGGACAACAGTCAACATGATGGATTCTTTGCAGCTCCTGGAGCAAAAAAAAAAAAGACAGCGAAATCACAGTCATGAAAAAACAACAATCGCAGCGAACAACAACGGCAAATAAACAAGAGGAACTTGATTAGCTTGTGTGAAATGGAATGAGGTGCCTCAGGCAATCACCATTTACAAGAAGACGCAGTTAAAACCAGAAGCATGAACACGCGTCTGACTCATTAGTTTTCCATTCGATTTAAAATCTGAACAAGTGACCATATTTCCTGTGAAGTGTCACATAACTCCGAAAGAGCACACACTTTTTAATTCTTATTTCCTCTCATTAATTCTGAATATTTATTATATTTGCGCGATGAGCAGAACTGTATTAAGCACGCATCAGGCAGACGAGTGGAAAGCATCGCGAAGAGTTGGCAAGAACTTCATCGGAGTGATATTAATGATGTTTTAAATAGCAAACGAATGATAATGACTTTAATTAATTGTTGTTTTGTTGTTGCTGTACTGCTGTGATTAATGTTGACGCCGCTGTTTAAAATGGTTCAAACGGCTTTAATTGGAATAGAAAGTTAATTTATGTGAATGTTGCGCTGGCTTTCAAGGCAAGGGATTGGAAATAGTGCTTTTTCATGCAGGATTATCATGTGACACGTAGCTAGCCTTCCACCCACGTATGTTTTTATGGTTTCCAGGTGATTGCCTGCCTTAAAGTTCATGGGGTGGAAGCAGGAAGCCTAGATTTATGTGTACCATCAATACTGAAACCAATGCATGTATTTTTTTTAAATCAGTGAAATGCATCTTTACATTCCAGTTGTTTCGCCTGTTTATTTATTTATTATTTTTATCTCTATCATCTACCACCTCCTGCCCTGATCTGAACTATTCCAGCTCCGTCCCTGAGCTTTTTTTTTTTTTACCTGACGAGATCGATGACCCGCTCTCTCGGCGCCGAGCTGACTGGCTCATCGTTGATCATGATGATCTCGTCGCCCGGCAGCAGCTTCCCCTCGGACGGACCACCTGCAAACGCATGCAAAGGGAGCCATTAAACCTCTGTATCAAAACAGCAGCTAGAGAGAGAGAGAGAGATTTACTCTGTTATCCAAAGATAATCTGCGAATAAAGCAGCTGAATGAACACGTGTATTTGTGCTTTTGTGCTGCGTAAACGTGTCGCCGGGCAGGTAATTTGGAGATAAATCCACTTTGTTGAGTGTGTCATTTAATAAGTGTGAGCATTAATCCACTGCCTGCATGTATTCCCTTTACTTGGGCAGCCAGTCTAAACAGAATATTCATTAGTTCAATTGTCTGCTTAGAATTCAGCACTGATTGATTATTGAGATGCCTAATCACTCTGTGTGTCTGTGCAGCCAATAGAGCTGACAGCTGATTGGAGTCCGTAAGCAGCAGTTTGGCAGCAATTTGGCAATCAGCCAGTCAGCCAAAATAGTTCCGCAATAATTTGTGTTCGTTTTCTTTCTCGCATGTGGTCAAAACTAACTAACGTGTGCAATCACAGGCTGTAAAATCGAACAGTGTGCAGTCACGTTAGCAGCTGTTTGAGCTGATTAGCACACTTCAAACGGTGAAAACGAACTCATAAACCCGCTCTCTTTCAACGTGCACACGCTCAGATTTGTACTCGAGCGTAGCTGGAGGTGTTAGTACTTGTAGTTGTGTTATTTTCTTTTATGTAGCTTTATCACATCTTGCCAGAGTTGAATGTTTTTCTTCTTGCTTTTAGCCATTCAGACACCCAGAGGAACGACCGGATGATATAACGTCGGTACTTCACTTAATGAAGATTTTTTTTAGATGGAGAAAAGTTTGCAATGTGATGGCAACAGCTTTAAAAAAGTAGTTTTTCCTCAAACTGTGATGGCAACTGCTTTAAAAATAAAACATTCCTGCAATCCTGAGTCTTTTCTCATGCTTGTGCACTGAACTACTGCTCTAAAATGAGATTTTCTGGTTATTACATGGCAAAGACTGCAGGAAAAAAAAAAAAGGCATGACCTAAACTGTGGTTCACAGAGGATGCGACATGAAAGAATTTTGTGCGCCTGTGATGATTTGACAGCTGACTGACAGCAAAGCAGCTGGCCCGCAAGGCATGCTGGGCAGGAAAGGCAAAAGCGAATCAAAACACCCTGAACACCATGACAAGTCCGGATGATATGAAAAATGTCTCAACTTGGAATTTCTCTGCAACAGACAGTGCATCTTTATAAGAAATAATGTTGGGACATGATGTGTTTATTGTGTATTAGATTGTATAAAGCTGTGTTCTACATGTGCTTGATTTGACACCCACCTGGTGTGACAGAGCGGACCACCACCGGTTTCTCGCTGCCCGCCACAAAGCCGAAACCCAGGACCGGGTCCCGCCTCATCTCCACCAGACGGGGGGCGGGAGGGAGCCCATCCAGGTGGACCTCCTCCAGGGAGCTGCTGTGGGACACTTGGCTGGAAAATATGAGAAAAAAAAAGACAGATGAGTTCAAATCCATGTGGCAAAACAAAGACAGGAGAAGACGCACATCCTACGTTTAACTTTAATTCACTTAAAGTTCAGACAAGTTCAGAGGCGCTCGATAAGGACAGCAGCCACCCTGAGACGCTGATCAACCTCATCGTGCTGACCCAGCACCTGGGCAAAGCTCCCGAGGTAACCAATCGGTATCTCTCCCAGCTGAAGGATGCACACAGAGCTCACCCCTTCCTCAAAGACTACTTAGCGAAGGAGAATGAGTTCGACAGACTAGCGATGCAGTACGCTCCCACCGCTACAGCGTGAAGCAGCTGCTTCTACCGTGGAAACGACTTGTCATCTTACATGTGTAAGATCGCTGACTGACTTGCTGATCCAAAGTGACGTGAAATGAGTCAGCAGTTACTTTCAATTCACGATGACATGCAGCTGGTAATGGGCACAATGACGGATCAGATCTCTCCTGCTGGTTAAAAAAAAGGCTCTCTTGAAGAACTAAGTGCAAATTAGAAGCCGATCAATGAATTCATTCCTACAGAAGTAATAGTTTTAGCTGAGACAGATAACATTAAACTCGGAATGAATGATTTGAGCCGTTCGATCTGCTGTTCATAAATCAGAGCTTTGGCTTGGGTTTACAACATTTTATGCTTAAGAGCCACTTATAACAGAGAGCACAGGTTCTGCATTCATAAAATGCCTCGGATTTGCAATCTGGAACCTATTTGCCTCTTACAGCCACATAAAAGTCCACAGACTATTCAGAATTAAAGTGCACTGATCATTTAATGAGGTCACAATTATTCATTTTTCAGTGTGTAAAGGACTTGTACATCTTTTTTATGTGGGCTCTGCAAAGGTGCTTTTTCTTATTTTCTGCAGCAGCTGATTGCAGTTATCGTCATTATAATGAAATCCATTCCTCGTTCTGCACTTTTTCCAATTAATTCCAATTTAATTGATTCGGAGAACTCGGCATTTGGCTGGTCCATTTCACAGACCACCTGAGCTTTCCTGAACGCTGTTTCCTCCTGTTGCAAACTAATAGAAGTAACAGAGACGCACGTATAAAGGCAGGATGTCTGGTTTTTAAATGGCAAAGACGACGGAAAAGATAAACACTCCTTTGAACTGTGATTGCTCAGTCATAGCTGAGCAATAAGAAATGACTTAGTAACCAGTCAGTATTGCACAGACGGTTGCAAATGATGTTAACAAGCGGCAATCAATGCAGAAGAGTCAGAAACTGCAGTTCCTCGAATGACCACTAGAAGCTGGCTCCAAAAGAGAGTCATCCCCATTGACCTCCATGTTAAAAAATCCAACTTTGCAGCTGAAATAAACACATTCACAGCATGGAACAGCCTGAAATCTACACCTAATTTCCAATTTCTTTGGTAAATTTTTCAAAAACTCACCCATTTTAATTGTATTAAAGTTGTCAATAATTAAGGGCGTGGCCACTTTGAGGAACAGGAGAGATGTTCTTCTGCTCCACCTCTTTGCCTATTTGGATTAGCTTGACGTCAATGCTCGGAGCCACCACACTGAGCTTCAAAACAACTCTTTGCAAACCCATTTCTGTGATATTTTGGCTCCGCTTTTGTACAGTGAGAGGAGGTGGCGGTGCATCATCCATCTTTATGTACACTTAGCGGTAATTAACAGCTTGCCACTTGTAAATAAGCGTTTAACATCCGAGTCACAATTGTGAGTGGCAAAGACATTTTCTGACGGCTCCAAATTAGCCAACTTTGCACTAAAAAGTACGGAAGTGCCAACAAAGGCGAGTAGACGTGGTTGTCAGCGTGACTTCATCGTTAAAGTAATTAAACACCTCCTCAGTAAAGCATTATTACACTTTGTTTGAATTGCACTCTTGGTTAGTTGCCATTAATACTGTTTTCGACACGATTTGCTTGATAGGTATTCTGACGTGCTTTGCAGAAATGTAGTTTGACGTTGATTTTGTTTTGGGTAGAAGACGACTAAATTGAACCTAAATTCAAAGGTTTTCAACACCAATACCTTCTGTTCTACACAACACAAACATAATATCAATACCCGCACCTGTTTCCTCACCAAAGGTTGCTTCCACACCTTTTCTCTCGAACAAGTGTTTTAAAATCTGACCGCATGTAAGCTGAGCAGCCAAACAGTGCTCTGCTTTTATAAAACATGAGTCAGGTCTCAGATTTGTATTCATTAAGCTTATAGTACTAGGATTAAATAGATCAACCCGGTCGAGGATAATGATGATATTTCTCTGGCGATACGTTCGTAATGCTCTGGCACCAACTATTGAAATTTAAACTAAAACATGCAGATGCTCTCAATGGATTCCCCCATCAACTGGCATAACGGAGTCACTGTTTCACTACTTAACAAATGAGGGTTAAGTGATCGTGAGGGAACTAACTTGCAGTTTTTAAAAAAATGACGGAAACCGCAGACAGCTGGGAAAAGCAAGTCAGAGATCTCTTAACTGAACTGACACATTTAAAAAAAGGAATATTAATGATAATACACAAACACAAAGATATGACAAGGCAGTGAACAATTACATAATTCCTGGTTTGTGCCGTTTTAGGGTTATTTTTTCTTAAGTTAAACACATACAGTGATGTGTCAAAGAGGTTGTCTTGCAGTGTATCGTGATAATATTGTTTCATAATTTACTTCAACATTGGAAGAACAAGATTGTGCCTTTACTTCCATGTATTTTACATGGATTATCAACCAGCAAGAATGCCAAGAATGAGACACTTATCTGGATACCATGCATGCATCAGGAAACATTAAGAACGTAGCTCAGTTTTAACTGGTTATTGTACCTGCTTTAATCTTTAAACCACCATAAATCGTCATTTTTAGATGCAAAAATTAACCTGTCTGCTTTTATATTTTCCCACATTTCCTGGGTTTGCTGATATCTTCTCTCGGTAACTTTTAAGTTTGATGCTCTATGTGCTATCCTCTGGACAGTTCTAGCTACATCAATACAATTTTTATATATGTGGATATGAATCCCTGAGGCTGTTGGTTCCTCAGCTTTATGCTTAGGTGGATAAAGTGCTATCAACAGTGATGCATGGCCAGAGAAAGCAACCAAGGCACTTCCAGTTGAGCAAAAGTGGCTGCATTGCATTTTTTGGCCTTTTAACATTGCAGGATCTCAGGTAAATTCCCTCAGTCTGACTGCTGAAGCGTGCAAAACGGTGAATCCTGAAAGAAGTTTGTGCTCCTTCTAAGAGATTGACATTAAATCACGGCGGCAAATTTCCTAATGAATGATTTTTATGAGTTGCTGGCAGCTACATGTGGCCACCAATCTTTTGTGCAACTTTAATACAGGTTAATATTGGTGAAATTTAACGTCGTCCTTTTCTTTGCCTTCCTGCAAGTCACTGCACTCAGGATGAGAGCGCCGCTAAAATTTAAATGTACCATATTAAATTACTTCCTGCTTGCTGAACCTCAGACGTCTGTCTCGACTGAGACATTGAGAATGCAAAGTGCCTGTTAATTAAGAGGTGATATACACTTTCAGTAGGGTTAACTCATTCGCTCTGTCTCTCTATTTCTCCCTCCTTCCCTCCTTTGCAGCTTAAAGAGCTCCCTTGGCAGCTGTTGCTTCCCTTCTGCTATAAAGTCCAGTACAGGGTGTCTTTTGTGGCCTGGCCAGCATCCACTCCATTGTCGTGTGCCTTGACTCTCCACATAGGACATCTTATGAATTTCCTGCCTCATCCACCTTCACAACGCCCCAGATGTGTGCAACCATATGATTTTATCTATGAAGATATTTATCTCGTTATTACACAATATATATACCTGCGGCTTTACCTAAATCTGGCCCCGATGATGAAACATGTTCCAACTGCACGGGATTCAACTTTATCTCCAGCCAATCCAGATCAATCTCAATCTCTGACCCACTTCCCGACTTTTTTTTTCCCCTACCCCCCTTGACTCTTGCGCTTTCTCATTCTCCCCGTGGTTATCACATTGATCTGTATTGTACATACGGCGCAGAAATCTCGAGCTAAATCTGTCTGTAATGAAGCGTGTTCCAATCTGTGACGCTGGCTCATCTTCCCTGTCAGGGTCGGTGGGATTTAATCCTGCAGAAGGACAGTTGCGAGGGTGATGGGGTCAGGGGAAAGCTGAACACCAAAGGTCAGATCCTGGTAATGCTGCCAGCCATGGAAGAATGGAATTGAGGAGAGTAGCAGCTACGGGTCGACTGATATGTTTTGTCATTGTCGATACTGATACCGATTATTAGCAACGAAGGGCTCCAACATAGATACTTGGAAAAGATACACGATTGCAAATAAAATCCAACATGAAACTCAAACAAAATGATTTTGCCTATGTTTAGTTAAAAGAAAACCTAAAAGAGATTCGTTGCGATGTAGGAAATCACACAAAGATGGCGACTACAGATAAAGAAGGGCCTCATCAGAGCCAAAGCAGCACATTTTTAAATTAAATTCTTTTATCGGGAATCTATTAGAGAACAATAATGATACAGATATTTTAAAAAAAATGCTGAATATCGGGTTTGATTATCGCCCAAACTGATATCGTTCAACCAAACTAAAATTCCCACTTGTCCAAGACAGTTTATTCCTATCACATAGTCGTAGTTGCTGAGGTTTCTATTGTTCCACCATGAGCAAAATCATTCCCTTAACCAACTGTAAGATGCATATATGTAACAATAATACAGTAGGACGGTTCTGTTTAACTGAGCAGCCGACTGTGAGAGAACATTAAATTTCAAATGTGACCGCATAACGAATCTAATGAGCTCATAAAAACACAATTTATGGCACAAATGGTTGGTTCACTTACTACCAAGGTCAGGTTTAAGTTCACAAGTTCATGAGATAATTTCAAACTACTTCAATGGACGCCTATCGTGAGTCAAAAAAAAAAAAAAAAGATGTAATGCCATCAAGAGCAAATCGGAGCACTTTAGAGTTATATAATGAGATTAACAGACCTCGCTAACGTAATCTTAACTATCAGGCACCATAACCTTTAACTGTGCATACAAGCAGGGCCGAGTGGGTTCATGATATCTAATGTGAGATGATGTTAATTAATAAGATTGTTCTGCTCCCGTTAAATGATCAGGACTGATTTATATATGTTGGAGTTGCAGGATTTTTTTGGCCTCACTTGTGACCTTAAAGCTGTACATCAGCGGTGGTGCCAACTAAAATAAAGCAGACCTTGTGCTAAAGGTGCTTGTCCTCCACCACCTGGACTGCTGCAAGTCCTTCTACACTTTCTGAAAGTCACTGGAAGTAACAGAAACTTTTCAGTGAACCTATTCTCAGTTGAAACAGTAGGAAATTTTTATGCTATGTATAAAAATGTTACACAATATGTTCAAGAATGCTATCAGTGTTGTCCAGCTGTACATCCAATAAACAGGGTTCAATATCGGAGTGTTGCACCCCGACAGCTGTAAAAACAACAGCCGGCAGGGTTTACACAGAGCACATACGACGCTGCAAACATGCCAAGTATACGTTTGACAATGTGGACAAAGTGATTTGTCATTTGGACTTCTGTCACTATTTTTAAATTTGTTTCGAGAAGACTCGAGGAAAGGAAAGCAGGCTTTTTACGGGTGAGTGATGGCTGGGTTAAAAGGTATCTGCAAGCTGTCAGCTCTTCTCATAGCGAGCCACAACTCTTCTCTTGACAGGCCCAGACGTCTACGAAACATGCTCACAACTAAATTTTGATTTATTTACTGTAATCAAATGACAGAATTCCAGACGGTATATATAAGGAAGGGTGAAAAAGGGCAAGGAACGTCGCAGGACGACATACATTAAACATGAAGAGTGATTGGTCTTTAACCTACCTAACCTACCAGAGAGCAGTGCATTTTTGATTACCACCACCACCGCCGCACACAAAAAAGTAATTTATCACTGAATCTTTTCACAGCGACACAGAAATCAGAGCCTGTCTCCATGTCGCCGTACTCGTTGTGCATAATGTTCTGTACACTAACACCTCAACCCCAGACCAGCATGAGCATTTGCATACTTATATGGCAGATGATTTCTTCCTGCATGACAATTTTACGGCGACAACGGGCCGCGCATGCATGGAGGCAGTGCGAAATTACCTTAACAATGCCTGCTAGTGATTAAACTGGGATGATGGCTTGGGGGAATGGTGGATGGGGGCTTCATGAATACTGTATTTGCAGGGTATCATACATATTTAACTTTGTTTGTACTCCATTATGACTCGAATTTAAAGGTTTAATTGTACATAATTGCTTCTTTTTACACTGTAGACCTAGCTTGTTATTCACACTGGGCAAACTTCTTGTGTGTGTAATATTCATTACCTCCACAACTCTCTGTGTCATTTCATTTATCTCTATGCATTGTTTTAACTTCATGGTTAAATGCGGAAATGCATCTCACTGTACAACTCTATGCGGTGATAATCAAGCTGAATTTAACTGTCAATCCGTCCAGAGTATCTCAGAGTTTCCTCCCAGTTGAACTCACGCAGAAGGAAGGAGGAAGCAGGTCCCTGAATCACCTTAACTTCAAGCTCCCTACGGATGTCTGAGCTCCTCAACCTTCCTCTAAGCCCAAGAACCCGAGGGATGAAACTCATTTCTGCCACTTGTATCTGCAATCTCACTAACCAGAGTTCAGGACAAAAGTTAAGAGTTGGGATGTTGAGATGTTCGCCTTTCGGCTTAGCTGCTCGGTACAATGCCCACATTACTGCTCAATCAGTCCGTCCATCTCACGCTCCATCTTTCCGTGAACAAGATCCTAATACCTAAACTCCTTCGCCTGGGGCAGCAACTTATCCTCAATGGATTTGACAGAAGTTAGTGGATTGAATTTAACCGTTTAATCTAAAGTAACGCGTTGTGTGACCACAACACCGCATCCAAACTGGACAAATTCAGTGTGCTTTAGGCTCCTTTAGGGATTTTCATCTATATATTTGGTTTTAAAGCTATTATTTCCATTTTATTACATTCGAGGACACCTACTTTGATGAGTTCACAGGTGTAAGACGAAGCCATGCCATGACAATCTACATAAAGCAACCTGAAACATGTGGGGATGTGATTCTATATTCAAATCTACACCACAATTCTCCAGTGGGCTGCCATGACGCAACCAGATGTGATTGCGGGAGACTATAGCTATTCACTCGAGTGCATGATTGTGCATTCACGGATTACTTCCACATATTTAAGCACATGCATGCCACGTGTTCAGCATCATACATACTTGGTGAAGCAGTCCCGTCCTTCCCTGCTGTGGTTCATGCTGTCCCAACTGTATGGGGGCCCCTGCAGTCCACCCCAGGAGCCTGGGCCAGGGGGCGGCCAGCCCGACGTTTTGTTCTTATGGCTGAAAGGTAAAGGACATTGGAATCACCGTTTGGTCATCGTCAGTAAATCTGTTTAATTGAGGAATAGAATCACTTTAATTTGTGGGAAATTCACACAAACAAAAACAGGCCTCTTGGATCAAGACAACGACCAGCTTTTTTTTAATAAAGATGTCTCCAAGCTTGAGAATCAGTGGAAGGTTTTTGCATAGGAGTCATCTTAATTTATAAATCCCACCACCCCCAGTATAGATAAAGGCACTCAGAGACACTCTGTGCACCTCTGGTTACATTCCTCTCAGTCCAATTAGTGTGACTTCTTGTCTCTCGGTGTGGCTCGCAGTGTGAGACAGCACTGCTTAGTGCAATCGACCGCAGTCAAATAACAGCTCATCGGCTCCAGAGATGGCCAATCGATGGCCGCATGTACGGGCAGCGCCGTGGTAGCAGCTCTGGAAAAATGTATTTATGCGGTGAGGGTCGCACTGATGTGACGGCGGACTCTGCTTATTGCAGATTACAATGTCACTGAGGATTCCAGGAGGATGGGAATGGAGACAGAGAGAGAGAGGAGATGGGGTGGGAGAAGAAAGTGGCTCCACTGTGGCACCCCAGTGTGAATTATGCAAAAAAAAGTTCATGTCATAATGAGAATTAGACGTATCATCACCCCGAACTGAGTTACAAGCCTCTAATGTCTCACATGCTACAAGGGACTAATCATGCACAGATCCTACAGCATCCAGCCCATAACTCTCTACAGAAACAATAACAAATGCATTAAAAGATCATTAAGTAAGAGAAATGCCGCTGAATGTAAGCATCTGTGTACTTCATTCTTGCGTTTGATTGATTTTATTCAGAGCGCTTCCTCCTTCTACTATAGAGTGTGGAGCTCCTGCCTGGCTGATGCACAGCTGCAGTAACAATTAAAGGATTAATGGCATTTCAGAGTCAAAATGTAGACTAATATTCTATCACACAGCTGATTCTTCCGTGTTTTCTCGACATTAGAGGTTTTTAGCTCTTGGGTCTTTATCATTGTAAGCAGCTGAAGGGCCTAATTAATCACTCACATGCTAATAAAAATGTTTAAAATAGGTGAAAGTGCATACTAGATAAGGATGTCATCACCGTAAGAATCCAGCCGATCGATTCCCATGTTGTGCTGTTGATGGGTTGGATACATCAGTCAGTCATGTCATAGCTCGCAGTGTATGAAAACGGAAATGTGTAACAGGTTTTAAAAAAAGCAAGAGAAAAAACAAAGCGACGTCTCGAGAAATAGCTGCCGTGCTTCCATGAATAAAAAGGCATCAAAACAAAAACCAGACGGCATTCAAGTTAAAAGCAACAGATCCATTTCAACACTGTTGGGCTTTGGAGTTTGACTCCTCTCTATTCTGTTGCCATCCTCGGATCACGCTTCGATGCTTCTGCTGATCTTCAGTCATCTGAAAGCAAAACAGATCCACCGCCACTTCAGAATTCCATTCAGAGGCTCTTGTGCGCGAAACATACAGTAGCCATGGCGTTACCGGCTGTGCAGATCTCCAGTGTGCAGCCAGACATCCATCTGCGTTTGTCATTGTGCTGCTGCTGAGAGCAGCTTTGGTCCAAACTGAACTAAACTGCCGTGGCCTCGCCTCCTTTATCCCATAATCCCTCTCATCACAGAGAAAACAAATCCACGCTGTGTGTGAGTATGAGTATTTCTGTGTGTGTATGAGTGAGTGTGCTCAGCTGTGTATATATACGTGAGGATGTGTGTGTGTGTGTGTGTGTGTGTGTGTGTGTGGAGTAAGAGGATTTTCAGAGAGCAACAGCGTGTATGGAAACACTGCTCCAGCTCAGAGGTGGAATCTCACAGCAGGAAATGGGAATAGGAAACTGATAAAGTTCACCTGAATGGGCCGGCTGTTTCACTTATCACTTTTTGTCTTCATTCAGAGAATTTAATCAGAACGAGAGAGAAAAAAGTGAGTGGTTCTGTCAAGAAAACAAAAGTGATGGCTTATTTAAGAAAATGGATGTAGATGTGAAGATCTTGATGCTAACATGATGACATTAGGCTGTTTTACTCTTGTAAGGCATCCTAAACCTTTGTGTGTGTTCCAACCACAAGAACTGTGTCTGTGGAACCTCTTTCAGGGCTTTTCAGGGGAGAAAACTGTATATGTTCCAAGGTAGGTAGTCCAGAGGCCCCCCCCAAAAAACTGTGACACCTGGCTGGATCTTGAGAGAGGTTCTCGGAGAGTCTTCTCTCCAACATCGGCAACAACATGATAAAATTTACCATAGAGGCTAACATAACAGGTCCCATTTCCTGTGTGCTCATAGAACTGGAGTTACATCATGAAAAAGGTTTATTACGGAGATGTTTTTGTCGACATTTGAAACATTTACACAAGGTTCTGTAGTGAAAATAGCCCAATGAGATTGCTAATACATTGATGTTCAGCATGTAATGTTTAACCATCCTAATTTAATCCCTCAGAATGCTAACCTATGCTAATTAGCACAAACACAGAGTACAACTAAGGCTGCTGGGAATTTTGTTAGTTTTTCCAGATCAAAACCAAAAGTTGGTCCGTTACGTAGGGCGGAACCAGATCATGGTGTGAAAAAAAAGGTCACATTATAAAACCTGTAGATGCTCAAGGAAAAGCTTCATTCATCTTTTGGAAGCAATTCATTTAAAACCAAATTCTGAGTAAAATGAAGTCCTTTAAGGATGCACATGTTCTGCAACAGTATGGTCCTTTGTCTTCAAAACGGTCTGTGTTTGCATTGAGGTCAGGTAGAGACATACATGTGGAACCAATCTGTTTCATTCTCAAGGAATCAGACACTGATATTATGTCAAAGCCGATGGAATTTGAGAAATAAACACAAGGCATCCTTTGGTTTTAGAGTCACTCATCTCAATATTTGATGCCAATAGATGTAAAGGAGTTTTACCACTTTAAAAGACCCACATAAGGAGGTTGTCAGGGTGGCGGTGGCAAAAAATGCAGGACCTATGACTCTGAAGTTTATGCCCTGTGTCCTATCATTCTCTTCCAATTAGTTTCATTTTGAGACTGAGTGCCATTTTCACTGCTTGGTTAAGGATAAACACCAAAACTACTTGGTCAAGGTTAGGAAAAGGTTAGTGTTTCAGTTTCAACACACACTTTCACAACATTAACCACATGCCAAATGGCAAAGGAGTGAAAGTGACTGTACCATCAACATTTGGCTACGGACTCATGGCAACTATTTCTGCTGTTCACAGATTTTTATCGGTCTACTGGATTACCCTGCATGTTGAAAATGGTGCTAAAAGTGTACCAAGTGCATCCAAATGTGACGCCAAGTGGTTCTGACAAAGCAGCAGCATGGGGCAATTTGGTCGTGAGGCTAAACTTGTGGAACGAGAAGGGCACAGTACCTTCTGCCAATGCCCTATCTCACAATTTCCATGAAAATAACCCTAATCCACATCAGCATTTACAGACCTTCCTGTGCCCATTTCCTACCACTTTGAGTTTCACAAAATTCAGCTTTGTATTTTCAGCGTAATCTTGCTGACAAACAGGCAGATGGCCAGACAGACGAACAAAACGCTGATCAAATACAGGAATCGAGCTGAGGAATTCTCAAAATGCAGCGAAAAAGAGCACAAATCCAGTGACAAAAGCATTCAATCTACAGCAGTAAGTTTAAAAGACAACAACAAACACTGCTTAAAACTCCAACCTCCACCTTTCAGGATGGTTTAAGCTTCTTCGTGGCTTCTTTTTTCTTTTTTACCTCCTCCTTCCATATATTTCTAAAATGCAAATAATTACTGACTAAAGAATCTCTGTGCAGAAACACTTGGACAGATCTCAACACAAACTGCTAGAAATGACTCCGCATCACTGAAAGTCGTCTTCACGATGAACTATGCAGCAGAGTTTCATTCCATCTGAAGTGATACAAACCTCCTGTGTTGACACACGGCCTTTTCCCTGGTCGCCCCCTTTGAAGCATTTGCCTTTAGCATACCAGCAATCCAATATGCATTCAAAAGAATCGGCAGGGTGCTTTGTTCTTAGGGTTGCCTTTGCCCAAAAGGACAGCGTATTGACTTCAAAAAGTACTCGTTTCTTTCAAACTGATCAATTCATGTTACTCTTGACAACCTGATCTCAAGGGATCAATGTCTCCCAGTCATTCACACTTCAGCACACAAACTCCATCAATGTCTTTTTCTGCCTTTGACAAAAATGTGCTGAGAAAAAACGATTTATTTTTTTTAAATGAATAGGTTAAACACAATAAAATGGAAATTTCTACCTTTACTGGCAAATTTAATGGCATGAGGCACATTAGAATGACATTAAGATGACACCACTTAATATATAGGCTACCAAATAAACCTCATTTGAAAGTGAATTTTTAAATGAGAAGTTGAGGGCTACCAAATGGACATCACGTCAGATATCAAAGATTAAAATAACAGATTACAGCCTATTATTTGGTCTGTATAGGATTATACTGTATGCAAACAACCTGTGTTCTGCAAAGCTGTACTTCAGAATAGTGCTAAAGGCCAGTGTTAGCACAAAACATGCATTGCTTTTGGTGCATCATGCAAAATACATTTGTTTCTCTCTTTCTGTAAGTCAGTTGTGAAAATGACTGACAGTCTGATAAAGAAAAAAATAATAAAAATTGCTGGCACAGTCTAAAAAAAATACAAATCTGATCTAATATTTGACAATATGGCAACATGCTCATTGCTGGTCAATCACAAAGTAGCTACACCTGAAAGCCTAACCTGATTTATTGTCTATTTTACTCAAAATGCAGCCATTTATTGCAAAATGAACATCATTTTGTATTGAAGGAGACTCAAAACTAGCAACTGAGACCATAAACTCATTAGGAAAATGTTTACTGAGGTCATAAAACAAGTGAGAATTTAAGTCATTTCATTTTTCATGACATTATTTCAAAATCAGAGGAGTTGCCCCTTGCTGGCTGTAAGAAA